CAGTTCTTGTTCTTTCTTCAATAATGTTTTGAGATTTCCTAAAAAGATAATCATTGGAAGTCTGTTACACCATTTAAAAGTCAGATTATGAAATAATTATTCTGTTGCTAGTGAGAACTACACTCTGTGTGATTTGGTGCCAGAGTCCCAGTGGGCAGTGGACTGCCACTGCCAACCTGAGTATAGGTTGGTTGGTCTCTGGATGTAGTGTTCTGTTGGTTAGAAGTCAATCACAAGTCCCACCCACTGAAGGGGAGGCAGTCACAGAAGGTGTGAACACCATGAGGTGTACATCTTAGGGGCCAGACCATATGAATCTGTCTGCCACAACAGGTATCATGTTGTAATGATCATATTTCATCTTTATGGGTTTAAATATTAAGCATTGTTATAGTGTAGTCAGAGAAGATCAGGCTTCAGAGGGCTGTTTACTCAAGTCTGGTTCCCATCAGAGATGTGATTTTAATATATTAATTCATGGTGAGAAAAGTAGTTGTCAGACTGTGGCTCATGTTTGGTGATTGCTGCATACTCTTCTTTTAGGCACATCCACATAGTAAGCTAAATGATGTGCTTGGTGAGGGTGACTTAGAGCAAGAGAAGAGAGCAGGATTATCTTAATGGCTAATGTCCTTGGACCATGAGAGCCTAATGCTCCATTATAGAATTCTTCCTGCTGCCTTAGGTTCTTAGGCTCTAGGAAACACTGATACAAACTTCTTATATTAGACATGCTATGTATACCATCCCCCTTTCTGTCTGCACATTCATTCTGTAGTCAGAATGTAATTCAGTTAGGTTCAACTTTATGAAGTTATTGTATTTCAATTTGGTTATCAATCCTTGATGTCCATTCATCCAGCAAACAGTTACTTTGTGCCAGGTGCTTGGGATATAGCTGTGGCTCCTCTTGGAGTCCACATTACAGAACAAAAGACTGACATTGAACCAGTAATCTCAAGTGTGGTGGTTTTTGTCTTGTTTTGACTTGAGTGTCAGCCATCTCTTAACCATTCTTGCAGACCCACTGATTTCTCCCTTCTTTAAACTGCCTTGTCACAGTTCACCTTAACTTCAATTTTGAAAGTAACTCACTATCTGCCCTACTGATTTTCTACACTACTTGTGCCATTTTGTAGGAGAAAAAGGAGAAAAAACAAGACACCAAAAAGTTGAACTAAACCATGATTATAAATAGTATCTGTGTAAATGTCCATTTGTAAGGAACTGGCTAACAGTTATGGTATATCTATTCAATAGAATATAAATGCTTTAACTGTTTCTTTTATTCTAACACTCAACAGAATACATCAGTGCTATATTTTAATGGTAAACTGAAAAACTATTAACTTTACATGATTTGCATTTAAGTTTTTAGTAAAAAATTGTAATATTATTAAATTCATGTATCATTTTACATTAAAATGATATGGTAGGTATTTCTTCTACCCAATGTTACATTATTTATAAAAATAAATAATTGGTTTGTATTAATGTATCCTTTTGTCATTAAAGTATAATATATCCATAAATAGATATATAAATCTACTTCCTTTTTTCCTTGTCCCTTCTTCACAGAATTCTCATAATCATTTTGGTTGAGATTATAGCATTTCCTTTAACTCTTGTGTGAACCCCCAAATTCTATTGATACATTGCATATTTTGGGCATTATGAGTTTACTTTTTCTTACTTCTTTCAGTTCTTCATTCCTTACTTTGCCTATCTATTCCTTCCCCCTAATTTCTTCAAATTTCTAAAGATTTATAAACTAGAGATTGGATATTATAACATGGCACAATCAAAACAGTATATACAACTCAGACTTGCCTAATATGGTTGTAGACCCACTTACGGTATTAGAGATAATATTTATACATGTCCAGACAATGATAATCTGAGTAAGGAAAGCCATAATCAGTGATGGGTAAATCTGGAAATGATCTTTGAGAAGTTATGTAATCCAATGACTTATTTATTTTTAATCCTTATTGATCTTCCACATAGATCTCATTGTTCTGACAAAGAATTTTCAAATGGTCCTTCTAGTTGCTTCCTGATATAAAGCAAATGAAGCAATGTAATGGATAAACAAATCCTTACCACATTCTTGAAAAGCCAATGTTTCTAAAGAGAAATGGTATTGTGAATGTGTCATGTGAAATTTCCCATCAAAGAGATGCATGTTGTTGTTGTTAGGTGCCATTGAAATGATAGCAGGAAGGAAAGTTTGTTACTGAAAAACCATCCCAGACAATCAGTGGCGTATAGAACCATCTTTGAAAAAGTTGATGCGGTTGGGTTTCTGTAGCTCAAACAGGAAAATTACAGTTTAAGAAATGGCCATCAGAGAAGAGGATTCCTTCCAAAAGTTTCCTCTAATTCACAGATTTTATTGAGTGTCTAATGTTTGGTATGCACTCTCAGTAAAGAAATAAACTTTTTTTTTTAACTAAACCATGCTGTCTAATGTTTTCAGTCTTACAGTTTCTGATCCGGGGTCCATAGTTACTCAGTCATTAACAAACGCTTATAGAGTCTTTTATGTCATCTTAGGTCTATTAAGATTTGAAAATGCCATTAAGGAACAAGTAGTTTAGTGGAAGAAAGATCAGTAAACTACTAAAAATAATAGAACGTAATGAGTACTATAAAACACACAGGAATATAGAATATAGAGGGGAAGAAATGTAGAAAAAGGAACCATTTTATTCAGTTGACAGGCTGATGGGGACTTAAAGGATGATAAGAGTTTTCTAGGCATACAGGGCTGGGAAGGGCATCTCTGATAGCGTGTATGAGCAGAGGTATGATGGCTGTAGCATGCATGGCATATTCAAGGATGGGGTAGGCAGGGCAGCAGTGGGAATACTTAGAGTTGGCTGGAGAAGGTGCATATGGTAAGTGTGGCCAAATATGAGGCTGGAAACATAGGCTAGGCCATAGTGTGTTGTGAGTGAAGGAACTAGAGGTAGGATTGGAGTGTCGAGAGAGATGAGTAATTCTTTATTCTCTACTTTCAGAAATTCTAATTCATTTAAAGTCACTTAATTTCTTCCCTGATCTAGCTGCTATCCAGGAAAAATTAGCCCTTTTCCTTTTGTTCTCCCCATGTGTTTTTGTTCATACTGTTAGCCACTTATCCCATTGTTTTATGGTTGGTTTAGATGTCTGCCTTCCTTTGTGGGCTGTGAGAAGATTTTTGTCCTACCTATTCAGGTTACTTGACTACATAATAAAAATAAAACAAACTTATATGGGATCAAATTGACAAAAGCAACTCAAAAGATTAGATAAGAACCTTGGGGGATAGTGAGTTTATCTGATGGAGGAGGAACAACTCAGAGAAGGTGGGTGAGGATGGATGGACGACTTGAAGACTTTATCAGTGTCACTGAATTGTACATGCAGAAACTGTTGAAATGGGCTATATGTTTTGCTGTGTATATTTTCAACAGCAATGACAACAAAGTTAATTAAATTAATAAAAACAAGCCAAGAAAAACAAAAAAAAGTTACTGTCTAGTCAGTTTTAACTCCTGGCAACCTCACATGTGCAGAGTGGAACAGTGCTCCAAAGAGTTTTCAGGGCTGTGACCTTTGGGAGGCAGGTCACCAGGTTTTTATTCGGAGGCACATCTGTGTATTTGAACTGTCAATCTTTTCAGTTAGTCGTGGAGCACTTACGTTTCTTAATTTGAGCTGTTTTGTAATTAATATCTCAACTAAGGTGTTGTACAATTAAAAATTTTTAAGATTCTAATTCTAGATAGGAGCTCTGTTGGCACTGCTTCTGTAAAGATTTACAGCTTTGGAAACCCTTTGGGGCATTTCTTCTCTGTCCTGTAGGGTCTCGATGAGTTGGAATCGACTTGGTGGCAGTGGATTTGAGTTGCTTATAATTCCAAATAATAGCATTTCCCCTTAGCTTAAGTTTTAGTCTAAATGGCAGGAATGTTAGCTTAAATACTTAAGAACTCCTTGTGCATCATGGCTTGTTTGGCGTGATTTACTTTTTTTCTTAAATGTAATTTGTTTGAGATCTAAAGTTCTTTGTCTAGGAAAGTGAAATGTTCACACTTTGAAGCTCTAAAAATAAAACACTGGAGAGATGATGCCAAAACAATGGTTTCAATCAAAAATGTATTCTGAATACAACATCCAAATGAGAACTAATTACCAATCAGATTGCAGTTACTAGGCATTCATTGTTTCAAGGCAATTAACAACAGTGATGAGAAACTTTTGTAATGAAATATTTTCAAAACCCTGTGGTTTTGTTCAGATTTATAATCAGTTGTGATGATCAAATATTCCTTAGATGCAAGATGTAATATGAATGATTATATCTTGTAATAAAGTTTTAATGAATATCATTCTCATTCTCTTAGTAGACAGACAGCTTTCCCTCAGATCACATTGAACGTGCATTGTTTTATTTAAGATTAATTTAGAAATATGTGCTCTTAATTCGCTGCGTAATTTACTGAATTTGTAGTGATCAAATTTACTTAAGGTAGTTTTCTACACATTTTTAAGAGAAGTATAAGATTGAATGAAGCTGCTAAACAAGATTATCTTGTTGGTTTATCAAGTTTGAGATGTAGACATGGGAATCAAGAAACTTCAGGAAACTCCAGTTAATAGGGCAATCTACTTCCAAAGTGATACTGCCTCAGAAACCCAAGGAGGGGTTGCTCTGACCTGGTTCGGACTCCACGGTGATGGTTGCATTTTTTTTGTTGTTTTTACTGATCTGTCTAGTAAGACTTAGCAGTATTGATTTCATAAACATTGTGATTTTGCTCTATTCTTTTCTCCTTATTTGGAAATGTTTGCTGTTTATTTAATATATATGGTGTAAAGCATTTAATAATATAACTGATCAGTGTGTCTACGTAACTTACCATTCACTTAATAACTTAATTATATGCCTTCAAGGTCATTTAAGTTCTAGATAAAAACTGTTAAATAATTTAATGCTTATTTTTTCCCAACAGATGTGAATTATTAAAAAGAAAATGGCCCAACGGAGCACTGTATTTCCTTTTCTTGTCACCGAGGAAAGGTATAATATATGGAAAATATGCATCTAAGGTATACTTTTCCTTTCCACCAATCCCATGAGGGCTGCTAGTGGGTGTGATGGTTATTATAAAGGATCCTTGTGGCTGTTATATTATTCAAGAATGGTTTTGTTCAAGGGCAAGAGAAGTAGTGTGTCCTTTCTCCCAGCTTGTAATTTGTAGGATGCTGTGGACCACTCAATGAGCCTGAGAGGTGAAGAGTTCACTGAGCCCTGCAGTAGAATTGTACTTCCATTAATGGTAAAATATAACTGGAGGCCTAGAGGCTAATAATCCTTAACCAAAACCAAACTCACTGCTACTAACCCTTTTAAATCAGAAGTTTCAAATTGGGAGTCCACAGACCAAAATTGACTCACAGAAGTATATTACTTGGCCTGCATGATCTTAACTACTTTTGAAATGTGTTGTCAACATTTAAAAATCAGGTGATTTCACATACAAGTCTGGATTTCCCAGCTTTGCTTGAAATATCAGAAGATCTGGAAAAATTGATCTGTATTTCCCGATGGTCACCCATGAGTGGAGCTGAATTGTGGTTGTTTTTAGCTGGGGAGCACCCTTTCCAGGTCTCCAAAGTCCCCACCATTCCCTATTACATCATACTCATGTGCTTCACTCATTTATGCCACCTGCCTGACCCCTGTAGGCGTTTGAGTTTGTAACTACTGCTTTAGAGGGAGGGAGGAGAAGGAGGGCTTGTCAGGAGACCATGTTAATAAGCTTGATCTTGAAAACACAGCCTTTACTGGGAAAGCATTTAGGTGTGCTGAATTCTGACAGCCTTCTGTTCTTGGAAGTCTCTGGGTATGATTGTTTACAGATGTTGCCTGGGTCCTGAACAAAAAACTCTTTTGGGCTGAAACCCATTTAGCTTATAGGGATAGATAATTTGTATTATCTTCTCTGGAAAGACTTGAATCTGACTTTAACATTTCCCCCACAATGAGCAACTCTCATAATGTGATTCTTTTCCGCAGGCGAGTTAGAACCATGCCCCGACACAGCCAGTCTCTGACCATGGCACCCTACTCTTCCATAAGTCTAGTGGAGCAACTTGAAGATAGGATCCTCTGCCACGAGAAAACCACTGCTGCCCTTGTGGAGCACGCCTTCCGCATCAAAGACGACATCGTCAGCAGTTTGCAGAAGATGCAAAACAAGGGGGGAGGTGACCGCTTGGCCAGGCTGTTCCTGGAGGAGCACATCAGGAACATAACTGCCATAGTGAAACAGCTTAATCGGGACATCGAGGTAAGGTGTGGGGGTCAAGTACATTGCCTCCCTTTCCACAACCTTGAGCCACATCTGGAGGTCACCAAGTCTGAGTCCCACCTCTAAGGCAGCAATGGATTTAGACCAAAGCTATCTGTCTTTTCTATTCTTAATAATCACCAAGGAAACAGCTTGGACAAATATCCTTGTTAAGTTTATTCCAGTATTTGATGGCAGTTACTGTCGGTGTTATTTATATTTAATCTAAATTTACCTTGTTGGTTACTAAATCCACTTTGTTTTGTTTGGTTCTCAATAGAGAAGCAAACAAGTGAGAGTTTCCTTGTGAAACCTTTCATTGTGAAAGTTCTTATCTTTGAAGACAGCTATTAAATCAATTACTAGGTCAGCCTTTGCTGCTTTAGAATAAATATTTCTGGGCCATAATGATTATTTGTAACACAGTTTATTATTCAAACAAACTAGTATTTGAATTGCTTCTCAGTCTCTTCTTTCATTGCTCTGTTTTTCTCTGAAATGGGTCCAATAAAAGACCAGTATTTTCTATTTTTAGCATTTATTGAATTTTAAATTTACTGTTGTTTATTGAGCAATCACGGGGCCCATGCAGTTTAGCTCAGAAAATGTAAGATCATTTAGGGCCTGTGCTTCCATCACTGCAAAACGCTAATATCCTTCACATGTAACTTTTAAATATGTGAATAAACAATATATAACTAGATTAAGAAAAACCTTTAAGCCATGAGGATTGTATTTTAATTATGCTTTCTAAAATTAAACCTAATTTTTTTTCCATTATCAAATTTATATATATTTTTAGCTGCTTTATTGCAGTATAATTTAAATACCACAAAATTCACCCTTTGTAAGGGTACAGTTTAATGATTTTTAGTAAATTTATAGAATTTTGTCTTCATCAACACAATTCAGTGTTAGAACATTTTTGTCCCCCCCAAATTTACACGGGCCAGTTTGTAGTCAATCCCTGCTTCCACCCCTGCCCTAGACAACCACTACTCTGCTCTTTGTCTATATAAATTTGTCTTTTCTGGGCATTCGTATAAATGGAATCATACAATATGAAGTCTTTTGCATCTAACTTCTTTCACTTAACATGACCTTTTTGAGGCTCAGCATGTTCCAGCATGTATCTTTGTGTGGATATATGTTTCCACTTCATTTCTTGAGTAAATTCCTAGGAGTGGAATTGCTGGGTCTTATGGTAAGCTTAAGGGGCTCTGGTAGCATAGTGCCTAAGGCACTTGACTGCTAACCAGAAGGCTGGCGGTTCAAACCCACCAGCCACTCCTCAGAAGGAAGATGGGGCAATCTACTTCAATAGTGATACTGCCTCAGAAACTCAAGGAGGGGTCGCTATGAGTCGGATCTGACTCGACGGCACATAACAACGACAACAACATGGTAAGCTTATGTTTAACCATTTACAAACACTGCCAAAACAGTTTTCCAAAATGGCTATGCCATTTTACAGTTTTACCAGCAATGTCTGAAGGTACCAGTTTCTCTAAATCCTTGCCAATACTTGGTGTTACTGGCCTTTTTGATAACCATTTCAGTGGATGTGTAGTGGTATCTCATTATGCTTTTATTTCACATTTCCCTAATAGCTAATGATATTGAGCACCTTCTCATTTGCATATTAGCTGTTTGTGTGTCTTCTTTGTTGAAATGTCTGTTCTTTTGCCCACGTCTGGTTGGGGAGGGCAGCTTTCCTCCGAAGCCTTTGTAATTGTCTGAAAAATCACTCATAGGTGTTTAGCCAGGAGCTGGTCTCCTCAATATCTTCCTAATGTATTGACCTTTTTATCATTATAAAATGTCCCCTTGTCTCTAGTGATATTTCTTGCTTAAAGTCTTATTTTGTTTGATATCAATGTAGCTACTCCAGCTCTCTTACTGCTATCGTTTGTATATTTCATTTCCATTTTTGATAATTGTCACTTGCCTTGTGTCTTTTGGTCTAGGGCTACCACCTGGTTATTGACATTCTCATGCATGTTTGCTAAGGACAGGGATTGACTCAGAATCATGCCCTAGTTGAAGTGCATTTGTCATAGGGTTCTAAGTTTACCTGTTTATTCTTCTTCTTATGTTTAAAGAAAAGGACCGTGTGAAGAAAATAACTGTGTGTTTGCTAGGAAGGGAGTGCAGTAAGGGAGGGCTGCTCAGCATTCTTTCTAAATTCTTTTGGTCACAGCATTTTTATTTCCTTTTGGACTTATCTTTCTCCCATTGGACATAGACTAGGGTGGCTTTTTTTTTTTTTTTTAAATAATATTTTATAGCATTTAAGGTAAAAGTTCACACAGCAAATTAGATGCCCATTGAATAATTTGTATACAAATGATTTGGTGATATTTGTTACATTTTTCTCAATGTGTCATTGTTCTCATTCATTTCATTCTGTTTGTATCATTTCCAATGCTCTATGTCCCCTTGCTTTCTCACATTTGCTTTAGAGTAATTTTTGACCATTTGGTCTCATGTTAATGATTTTTTAAAGGCACTCCTTACTCATGGCTGATATTCTTTCCTTTATGAGCCAATCTGTTAATTAGCTAAAAGGTGACCTCGAGGGATAATTTCAATTTAAGGTTTAATGACAATACTCATGCACATGTATTTGCATGTGCTATAAATTGATAATAAAAATTATCAAGCATAACAGAAGGCAAAGTCAGGATAACTTCTTAACCACAAATAAGCACCTTGAGGGAGTAGGTTGCTAGGCCTATGGGCTGTGGACCATAGTCGTGGGGGACATCAACCTCAATTGGTACAACATGGTATATAAAAATATTTTTCTACATCTTGCTTTGATGAGTAGTGACTAGGGTCTTAAAAGCTTGCAAATGGCCATCTGAGTGGCAACTATTGGTCTTGTATTTGATGGGAGCAAAGAGGAGTGAAGAAAATCAAAGATACATGGAAACTGTAGTCTAAAGGACTAATGAATGGACAAGAACCTCAACCTATATGACCTCGAGACCAAAAGAACTAGCTACCAATGCCAACCACGTGGAAAGAGATCAAAATTGGAGAGCTTGTATAGAATGGGAGAAGTATGTAGAACAAAACTCAAAAGCAAACCAACAAACAAACAAAACACACCAGGCTCTAGTCTTACAGAGACTGGTGAAACTCCCAAGACTATGGCCTCAAGTCACCCTTCGGGCCTGGAGTTGAACTCATTAACTCTCAGTCAAATAATAGCTGTACACTTGCACCAGAAAGATACGTTTCTTAAAACAGTCAACCATGTGAAATCAGAAGGGTAGCATTTTCACAGGAGGAAATATAGGAAGGCACAAATGCATAGGCAAGAAGGACACAGGGAAAAGGTAACCACAGAGAAGAAGTGGAGGGTGAGATGTTATACTTTGGGGAATATAACTAGTATCACAAAACAAAACATGTATATGAACTCTTGACTGTAAAATGAATCTGCTCTGTAAAATATTACCCAAATCACAATAAAAAGTTCAAAACAAAACAAACAAAAAACCACACACACACACACACAAAAGAATGTCTCAGGCCAAGTCTCAGGGAGTTCTTTAGTTTTTAACCAGTCCACTAAGTCTGGACTTTTTAAGATCTTGTGTTCTGTTCTACATTTTTCTCCTATTCTATCAGGGTCTATCTATTGTGGCCCTGATCAGAACAGTTGGTAGTGGTAGCTTGGCACCATCTGTTCTTCTGGTCTCAGGGAAGATGAGGCCATGGTACGTGTAGACTTTTAGTCTTGTAGACTCCTTTCTTCTCTGAGTCTTTCATTTCCTTCTTTCTCTTTTGTTCTGGATAAGAAGAGACCAATAGTTGTATTTTAATGGTTATTAATCAGAGTGTCTTATAAGGTCTTTAGATAAACAGGATTGGGGCTCATAACCCAGCCAAGAGCCTTGAACTCTCCCTCCTTGGTTCTTGAAACCTGAACTGAGTGATCCAAGGATTGTGAATGGCTGGAGCACCTCCACTGCTCCTCTTTGCAGGAGACCTGCCAGTGCTTCTGCTACCTGGGTCCTGGGAAAGACCTTGTGTTCTTCTTTGCTGTCTGGATCTCCAGCTGTCCTGTTGACTGTGTTCACCTCTCCCCTATATCCTTCTAAGAAATTCTTTTCTTTTTTCTCCTGAGTTAGCTAGAGTCAGGTTTAATTGCTTGCATGCAAAGAACTCTAGTGACACTGGAGGGCCATAGAAAGATTAAGAGATTGCCGAGGTAATTTACTTGTGTTTGGAAGGTGGTGTCTATGTTTAGAACGATCTTCCCAGTTTTATATTTGGGTGCTAAAACACATTTATCTCAGAGACTGAATAACTTGACAACCCCAAGTTAGCAACTCTGCAAAATTAAAGAACCCCAACTTAAAGATTTCAGTTTTTTCCATTTTTAAAATACTTTATTTTCTAGAGCAGTGTTAGTTTTACAGAAAAAACTGTGCAGAAAGTGCAGTGAGTTCTCATAGACCCCACTCCTCCCTGCACAGTTTCTTCTAGTGAGGAGTTTAATCTTGAAAAGGATTGGAGATGTATTAGGGGGCTGATAGCCCTGCTGTACCCATATATACAGAGGGATTTGGGATAGATAATGATTCTCAGGCTTCCATCCCCTCAACTAATGGCAACAACTGTGTCATAAAAAGGCACAAACCCCCCTGTGTTTGTTGATACAAAATAGTGTGACTCCCCATTCTTTCTGTGCTCAGCGTTTCCCTGTGGGTCCTTACCTAGATTTCCTCTGCTCTGTGGGAGGATAGACTAGAGACAGGCACCAGTCTATTCTGACATTACTCTTCCCCCTTAGGTAATAGGAGAGAGTGTACCTTTACCTTTAGAAAACCCTAGACTTCATTTCTGCTGTCAGCGTAAGAGGTGATAGTGCTTTACCCACAACCACAGGAATTGGGGAAAGTTTTTCCCTTTGGTAGTCCACCAGCCATTCCTCGGAAGGAAAGTTGGGCAATCTACTTTCGTAGTAATACCGCCTCAGAAACCCA